ATGAGATGCCAAAGATCTTTTTATTTTTAACTTGTTAACTATGAAAACATCAAGCTATATAAAAGTAAGATAGACCCATCATCACCCAGCTTCAAAAATTATCAATTTATGGCCAATTTTATTTTATTTATACCTTCAGCCTCTGCCCCCTCATTGAATTATTTTTATCATGTCATTCACAAATGTTTTAGTATGTATCTCTAATAGATTGAAAACCCTAACAAAACAGCCACCATACTATTAGCACCTCAAACAATGATCAATAAGATTGGACAAATTAGAAATCAAATAAACCAACTGCTTCAATTGGTATGTCTCTTCAGTCTCTTAATGTATAGATTCTGCCACAATGCTTTTTTTCCCTTTGTAATTTTTATTGATTGATTGATTGATTGAGACGAAGTCTCACTCTGTTGCCCAGGCTGGAGTAGATCTCGGCTCACTGCAACTTCCGCCTCCCAGGTTCAGGCAATTCTCCTGCCTCAGCCTCCCAAGTAGCTGGGATTACAGGCGTGTGCCACCACACCCAGCTAATTTTTATATTTTTAGTAGAGATGGGGTTTCACCATGTTGGTCAGGCGGGTCTCCAACTCTGACCTCGCGATCCACCCACCTCGGCCTCCCAAAGTGCTGGGATTATAGGTGTGATTTATTTATTAAAGAAACCAGATCGTTTTTTCTCTAAATTTTTGTTCAGTGTAATTTCTCTGTTTGTATTTGCCTGATTTTAAAACAAACCTATTTTTCAGAAGTTTCACATTTACAGAAAATTTATAAAAACAGTACAGAGTTCCCATATACTCTACCTACTTTACCCTATAATTAACATCTACATTATTATAAAATATTTCTTACAATAACAAATCAATTTTGATATCATCAACCAAAATCTATGCTTTATTCAGATTTCCTTAGTTTTTCTCTAATGTGCTTTTTCTTCTCCAGGATGCCACATTCCATTTAGTCATGTTACGTCTTCTTAGGCTCATCTTTGTTGTGAGAATTTCTCAGATTTTCTTTATATTTCATGATTGCTATAGACTGAATATTTTTGTTCTCAAATTCTTATGTTGAAATCTTAACTCCAATTGTGTTGGTAAGTAGGGCCTTTGAAAAGTTATTAGGTCATGAGGGCAGAGCTCTCATGCCTGAAATTAGTGACTCTGTAAAAGAGACTGCAGAGAACTCCCTCACCGCTTCCCATATGTGAGGTTTCAGCACAAGGCTATCTTCTATGAACCCAGAAGTGCGCCCTCAATAGGCACCAATCTGCCAGTATCTTGATCTTGTATTTCTCAGGCTTCAAAACTGGGAGAAATCAAGTATTTGCTGTTCCTAAGCCATCCAATCTATGGTATTTTGTTCCAGCTGCCCTAATGGACTAAAACAATAACAATTTTGAGACTTACTGGTCAGGTATTGTGTAAAATGTCCCTTCAATGGGATTTGTTTGGTGCTTTTCTCATGGTTAGAGAGGGATTATATCTTTTTGGAGGAAAACCACAGATAAAAGTACCATTTTCATTACTTCATATTAAGGGTACATTCTACCAACATGACTTGTCAATGTCGATTTTGACCTTGATCACTTGTCCAAGGTAGTGTTTGTCAGGTTTCTCCACAAAGTAACAAAGTTTCTCCTTCCCTCTCCTGTTTTCATACTGTACTCTTTGGAAGGCAGTCATTATTCACAACCCACAAGGAGTAGGAAGCTATGCTCCACCTCTTTGAGGACAGAGTAGTTACATGAATTATTTCTAATTCTTCTGCAGAGGATGTTTTTATCTTGCCTATTTATTTACTAATAAATTTTCATTATTTATTTGTACATCAGTATGGACCTCTAGATATTTATTGTACTTCAAATTGTAATCCAAGACAATTCTTTCATCTTTGGCCACTAGGAGTTTTTTCAGTTGGTCCCTGTGTCCCTTTGACATGTCATTTTCATTCTCCATCCTCACTGTCAACACACAAACTTAACAAGGCCACCAGTCCCATCTGGATGATAACAACAGCCTTCCCATTCTTCCATCAATATAGATTTTTGTCTTTTTTTATTTGGTGAACTTCCTTAATTTCTGGCATCACAAGATGCTTCTGGCTTATTGTATATACAAGTTGTATATTTCCTGGCCCAATGTTGGAATCAGCCATTTCTCCAAAGGGCTTTGATTCCTTTTATGGAAAATGGTGTTAGAAAACAAAATGTGGCATTTGGTATGTTTGTTGCTATTGGAATATCATTGCTTCTAACCCCACTCACCTGAAAAAGCAAGGAAATATGTGTGCACATTAACTCTTGTATGTATACATATGTGTGTGTGTGTGTGTGTGTGTGTGTGTATATATATATCTAGCCATATCTACATCAAGCTAAAAATGAATTCATACTGATGTTTCAGACTCTAATCTATTACTACATAGATCATTCTAGTCTCTTCCTAATATTTTAAATAGGTATTCCTTTGTATTTCTTATAAATTGTTAGATCAAGGTAACAGTTCAATATTTTGGCAGAAATAATCCAAAGGAGGCAGTGTGCTCTTGTATCACAATGGGTATAACAACTGTCTATTCATGATGTGATCATTCCCCAGATTCCAGTAATTCTTTAACATTTTTTAAATGTTAAAATTTTGATTGGCTCTTTCCTTCTTTAACTGGAATACTTTGTGAGATACATTTCTTCTCATTAACTATTTGGTGGCCCTAAGGAAGAACCCATATAAAAAAAAGGTAGGATAAATGCTTGATTCTTTTCATTATTACTTTTTAAATAATAGATTGGTTTTTTAGAATTCTCCCAGGCTGACCACAGGGTTATTTTTGGTTCCAAGTACCATTATGAACTTGCAGCAAGCTCTTTAGGTACATGGCTCAGCCCTCTACCTGCAGCTTTGAGTCCTGGACATTCTGCCTCACGATGGCGGAATGGGGGGTGATTGGTGGGGGTGGGGAGGTGGGGCAGAGGCAGAGAAAGATTTGAAAGGGTTGGCAAGGTGGGGGCTCTGAAGGGTTTCCATATTTATCTAGAAAAAGCTCTGATCTCCAAAATCATTAATACTTGTATAGCTGTTGCCTTGGTTTTACAGCTTTTCATGTTGCCTTTGAAATCTTTGAAGTCCATCTTTTAAAGGCCATCTTTAGTCTCCTCAAGCAACCAGGAAAGAAAGAACAGCCTGAAGATCTGGAAAGGGCATGTTTGATCCTAAATCATTAAAGGTAGCCTATCTAGGAGAAAAACCAAGTCGCCTTTGGAATGCTAGTGGAAGGGGGAAGGCCCCAGTTCTCCACCCTGGTTATTAGTTACCTAAAACACATTTTAAAAACCACGTATGTCCCTGCATGACCCACAAACATTCTGATTAAATTGGTCTGTGATAGGACCCCAAAAGTGTGAGTTTTTAAAAAATTGTATAAGCTTTTTGCAAGGTGAATCTAATGTTAAAGGAGAGCTATTTTCAAACCTCCTAGAACTCTAGCAGGCTAATGACAATTGTGTCACACCTACAGACTCATCACCTTAATGCAGTTGCTTCATGTTATTAGATGATATCCCTGCCCCACAACTCAGAAGACTAAGCTAGGAAAGATAATGTCATACAAGTCTCATTCCTCCTTAACTGGAGGCTGATGAGTGCAGTTCAGTTCCAACTCTTGGGTCTTTATTATTGTTTTTTGTAGAGATAGGGTCTCTATATTGCCCAGACTGGTCTCGAATTTGTGACCTCGAATGACCTCCCCTTGCCTTCCACAGTGCTGGGATTACAGGTATGAGCCAGTGTGCCCAGCCCTGGGTCCTCAACATAAGACATAGCACTGTGCCCCAACCCTCGACTCCAAAAATGGCTACATTTACTTTCTGCCTGGCACCGTTCTAAGTGCTTTTCATATCTCAACATCCCTAACAGGTTGGTATCATCTCCACTTAACAGATGAGCTACTGGGATCCGAGAGTTAAGTGACTTGTTAAGGTTAAAAGCCTATTTCTGGGTGGGTCCAGACTCTTTCCCACCACATGCTGTCACTTACAGGCTGTGATTTTATGCCCAGCCCCTCTCAAAGAGCTGCCTCCTGCTTTCTGTTGCACAGTCAATATTGACACCTGGTGTAGGGGCGCTGTGCGGCGTGGGGAAGGCCTGGCCTGAAATGAGGGATCTGCATCTCAGCATCAGGCCCTGAGTGGTAGGGTAACCCACCCTCCTTCACAGCTCAGAGGTCTGAGGGTGTTTGCAGGAAAGACTAGAACGCCTAGGAGGCTTCTTCTACCTCTCACCCCTCCTCACTCCCAGTCCTGTGACACAGGATTTCACTCACAGCTCCTTCTGCTCCACACTTCCCCTGAAAATCTCACTGCCCTGTGACTTCTCCATGTGCCACTAGGATCCTGTGCGTCAAACCCCCAGGATCAGCTGCCCACTGTCTATGGCCACCCCAATTCTTGACTAGAACGACATTTATCACTGCCCACCCTTCTCCCACTCTTCCCCTCTCAGCAAATGACACCACATCCAGGAAACTCTTAACCACCACTAGCCCAGCGCTCCCTCTTCCCCCTTTACGCAGTCACCAAGTCCCCTCAGTTTCACCACTCAAGATAGTTGTTAGACCATGGCGCCGCTCCATCCCCGTTTCCCTAGGCCTAGGTGTGTGAGGCCAGCCCTGCCTCATTTCCTCCTAACCCCAACCCAGGCCTTGTGCTTTGTGTGCCACCAGACCCAACCAAAGCTCATTACCTGGTTTGCTCTTTTGGCTCCCAGGAGACGTTTAGGTACCCACCTTCGTCCAGGTTTAGGGCGCGACCACACCTTCAGCCCCGCCCCCCGCAAGGCCAACCCAGAGGTTACAGTACTTTCGGTTTCCCTAGGGTTCCTGGATCCTGGGATTCACACGTCTGCAAGCCCCGCCCTGATTGGCTGCCTCCCGCACCAGTCGCGGCGCCCCGCCCTAAGGCGCTCAGGTTCCGCCCCTTATTCCAGCAGGGATTGGGCCTTGTGGCACCGCCCAGGCTCGGATTGGTAGGAGGTGAGACCCGCCCCTCTGCCCACGTGGGCCTTCGGGATTGCGGAGGAGCAGTGTCGGGCCATGGCCGGGACCCGCAGGCTGGAGCTGGCCGAGGCCCTGCAGCTGGGACCTGGCTGGCGTCATGCGTGCCACGCTCTACTCTACGCGCCGGACCCTGGGATGCTCTTCGGCCGCATCCCGCTGCGCTACGCCGTACTGGTGAGAAAGGGGCGCGCCCGGCCACTTTCTGCGTGAGCCCTGCTCTCTCTCTGGGGTCTCCTCCGGGGCGCCCTGCCAATCCCCGCTTCCCCCTCTCGCAGATGCAGATGCGCTTCGATGGACGCCTGGGCTTCCCCGGAGGATTCGTGGACAAGCAGGACAACAGCCTAGAGGAAGGGCTGAACCGCGAGCTGCGCGAGGAGCTGGGCGAGGCTGCGGCCGCCTTCCGCGTAGAGCGCACTGACTACCGCAGCTCCCACGCCGGGTCAGGGCCGCGCGTTGTGGCCCACTTCTACGCCAAGTGTCTGACGCTCGAGCAGCTGTTGGCTGTGGAGGCCGGCGCTACACGCGCCAAGGACCACGGGCTGGAGGTGGGGCCAGCCTGGGACTCTGTCCCTTTCCCAAATTCCTCTTCTCCCAAAGCTTTCCCTCCCCCAAGAAAGAATCCCTGCAGGAAAGTCTTTACCGTTCTGACCTTGCCCTCTTCCCAATTTTCTTGGTGGAGTTTGGATCGTGGTCATCTCTACTTTGAGTTAATACTGCCAACCTGGGCTTTTTGTAAAGGTCTTTCCCCACCCATTACCAGGAGAGATCCAGGATCTCTGGAGACATCTTTTCTAGAACACACTCATCCACGTCTCTCTGCTGTTCCCTATTGACAGTGTGATAGATTATCACATTATCTAGGCATGGCACCCTAGGTTTTATTTCTGGGTTTGCTTTTCTTGTGTAGGAGATGTGACCCTGATATTTCAGGCAAGGCTAGTAGACTGTGTATGAGGTGGTTCTCAAAATTTGGCAGGTAGCAGAATCATCTGGGTGGCTTATTAAAACAGTTATTTCTCCCAGCATTCCTGCATTGGTGACGGGGGATGGGGAGAAGAAACCCGAGAATTTGGAGTTTTCAAAAGTTCTCAGATAATGCTGATGTAAGTAATCTGAGGACCACATTGTGACAACCACTGGTTAAAGGGTATGAATGCATCTTTGAGGCAGGAACCACTAGACGTTTAGAAGCAGATGTGGAAAATATTAATTGATAGAGCTAGATAATAGGTTTTGGGTCATTTTCCTGCAGAAGGTTGGGCCACTAGGCTTTAGTGAGGTATGAGCCTTGGGCCTGGTTCTGCTGGAGCGTTAAGGGGTGAGACCTCTCATCTAGAAATATCTGCTGGAGAGAGGATGGAGTTAAGGGAATGAGGCACCTGGGGCCCCAGTATCTCCTGTCTCCTTCTTTTTCAGGTGCTGGGCCTGGTGCGAGTGCCCCTGTATACCCTGCGGGATGGTGTGGGAGGCCTGCCTACCTTCCTGGAGAATTCCTTTATTGGCTCTGCCCGGGAGCAGTTACTGGAATCTCTCCAGGACTTGGGACTGCTACAGTCTGGCTCGATCTCAGGCCTTAAAATTCCAGCTCGTCACTAGAGGCAGTCCTCCATGGACCCATGGAAACTGAGATGAGGACCTTGGTACTATGGAGGGAGGGAAGGATGTGGGAATGTTTTCTTATTGGACCTGAGAGATGATACATGATAGCAGATTAAAAGAAGAAGTGTGTACCATATGTTTTGAGAAGAGGACCCTCCAACTCGTGGCACCAGGGGCAAAAATCCACAGCTCATCCCAGGTACCCTGGCAGCTTCTCAGAGCCTGCCTCCTCCCTGTATATATGCATGCAGCCTGGTAACCCCAGGCATGCAAATATACCATCTATAACAACACACAGCCTGACACCTTCCCCTGGTCATGTCCAGTTTAACCATGAAGGAATATTTGTCAACATCCTCTGCTCCCAGATAGCAAGGAGCTTCTGAAGCAAGCATGGGTCCTTCCCACAGTCCTCCATGGCTGCTCTCCAGGGTCTGACCCAGCTTATTTGTTAGGGAGGATAGAGAGGCAGAGGACTGCCTGTGCTTCCTGAAAATAGACTTGCTCTTGTCTGAGTGGTGACCAAGGCAGTTGGCTCTTAAAAGGTGGGAGAGTATCCTAACCAATCCCCAATCTTTTTCTTCTGAAACTGAGTAGGAGGGGTAAGGAAGTGGCTAGGTTTCCTTAGACTGAGCATAGACATGAGACCTGTAACTACTGGTGTCTCTGCTCCAGAGTTTTCATCTTTGGGATGCCTGAGACTCCGATACTATCAGAAGAGACGTGACCCACCCCGGTCTAGACCTGCCCTGGCAAAAAGAGCCTCCCATTAAAGAGGGCTTAGAGCTGGGCCTCTAGGCCCTTCACTTTATTTATACAAAGGTGGTAGAAAAATGTAGACTGGACAAAATAATCCATGGAGAGAGAAAAAGAAGAGGGCTCAGGACATGGCCCTGAGGACGCCCAATCCTAAGAGTTTGGGCAGAGAAAACCAGGCATGTTAAAGAAGACAAGAGAGTGGACTGTGCAGAGTGCTTATGAGGGCTTCACTAAAACAGAGGCAGAGCTGTCCACTCCATTTAGTAACATGAAGTGTTTGATGACTATGATGGCAGCAATTTCAGGGAGGGTGGTGTGGAAGGCAGGCCGGATTGGCTGAGTGAATGGAAGATCGGGGAGTGGAGCATGTGAGAAGTTAGCCCTAAATGGGGCTCAGGTTAATAACTGGAGAGCTGTGGGGTCAAGCTGTGTTTAAGGTGGGAGGTAGAGCATGCTGATGTTGATGGCAACAGTCAAGATGGTGCGATGAGAGAGATAGGAGGGGGACGAGGAGGAGGACCCCTAAAGGGTCACAGTCCTTGAGAGAGGAGGAGGGATGGGACCCTTGTAGGAAGAGACAGCTCTGCAGCCTCACAGGACTCAATATAACAGAAAGGGGTTAGTATAGAAGATGAGGATGACTGAATTAATGGGGAAATGATGAAGGAGTTTGAATCTCTTCTTTGTGAAATGAAGTGATATTATCAGCTAGATGTGGGTGGAGCATGTTCTTGGAAGGTAGGAAGTAGATGTTTTCCTTGGTGTTGGAAATCACATTGATTAAGGAAACAGCAGTAGGGCCAGACAAGGCTGAGCTCTGAGATGGTCAGTTTAGAGTAGGATGTTTGGCACTCAGGTGTGTGTGTGTTGAGTGGGGCTCTGCATGCACCTGTCTTTCCCTCATCAGGCTTCAGCAGCTGGGATGGAGACACTTACTGCAGTGTTGGGGTTTTGCCAGGGAAGTAAAAGAAGGTGAGAGACAGATGGGGAGTTCCGATGACATGACAGGAGAAATTGCAGTGATGAAATGTGCAGTCTAAGGTTTAATTGGCCCAAAATGGGAATTGAAAACAGGAGGTGACTAAGGAGGGATTAGGAAATTAGAGGTCTTGACAAGGTAGAAACTCCAGAATGGTGAGGGGTTGGTCAGGGTTGTATTTGAGCCAGACAGGAGTACTTTGGAAATTGAGAGGTGGAGCAATCTCAGGTAAAGGCAAAATAGAGGGTATGACCTGGGGTTGCTGGCCAGAGCCAGGGGAGGAGCCTTAAGACGTGAGATCTGGGGTTGGGGAGGCTGGAGGGTAGGGCGAGCCTCCACGTGGGTGCTGAAGCGAAAAACCGACATGACCTAGGAGCCATTGTCCTTGGTGAACAAGAGGAGTGACCACAGGCCAGTGGCATCTGCCAGAGGGAAAAGCAGGCATGATAGGATAGCATATCCCAGGCGAGGGCTTTTTGAGGAAGGGAGGGTGGGAAGTGGTTTGGAAGCTTAATGCAGAGCAGTGTGGTTCCCACTGGCAGCCCTTGGTCTTAGAAGAATGGGAGTGGCCAGTGGCGGAGCCGCTGTACATTTCCTAATCACACCCTGACCCTTTTGTCAAGCATTATCTAGATGAAACCTCAGCGTAGGCAGGCTGCAGGGAATGGACATTCCAGTGGTTCCTGGGGTCCCAGCCTGTCGCAGCTTCATCTGTGCTTTGTGCACTTGACTCTCAGTCATCTCTGCAAGGGACCCTGAGGTCTGGGAGATCAGAGTCACTCACCCTTGATGGCCCTGCTAATAGACCTCTCCCTCAGATAATTCTGGATCCAGAACTCATTCTGGGATGTAATCCGGGTCAACATGAATACCATTAGGAAGGTGCCTTTACAGCACTCAACTCACTCTGCTTGAGTATCCCAGTGATCAGTCTCTCAGTGCCTGCCTCCTGCACAGCTCATCTGTCCACTTATTTGCATTAAATCTGCTTTTTATTTAGGTCTATGGAGATGGCTGAGTGGGGAGGAGCCCATGACTTACCTGTATGATCCCTTAAACATACTGTCCAAGTCAGCAGATAATTCTCAGGCAGGCTTCATAAAAGTTTCACCATACTGGGGTTTGTGTTCATCTCACTCACCTAGACAGTCCCTGGGTAGGCAGACTAGGGGTGATAGAAGCTCACGCTCTGTGTTTCTCCTCCTCTTACTCATTCCCACCATGCTGAGGTTTAAGGAAAGCCAGCGATGATGTCCCAGTTAAGCTTTCCTTGGCCTTGTTAAATGGAATCATCTGGGGTGGGAAGCAGAGAAATGCTCATTGCAATCTTTGACCTTCACTAACTGCTGTGGTGACTTTGACCCAAGCCCTTGACCTCCTTTCTCTTATCTGAAATGTTTCTGTGATTCCTGTGGTGAGATTAGATGAGGCAGCACTTGGGATAAGCTTGCAGAGACGCATTCAGCGCTATGAAAGTACAGGATGCCATGTGTGCTTCCTGCTTCATAGCACATTTTGTTTCTTGCAAGGTGAGAGGCCCAGCCGCCTCCCCACAAACACATATTTGTGCCTTTTTCAGCATAATCAGCAAGATGTTCCCACTTCTCAGCATTGTACTTTTCTGCTGGTGTAGAATAAATGCTTTGAGCCCCACCCTGTTCTGAGACAAAGTCCTCCGTGGTCACCCAGCATATGGCAAAGCTGCTGCTTCTGGTCTGGAACATTTGAGGCAGCAGCGACTTCCTCTTTTTCCAGTTACCTGAACCCTTAGAGGCAGCCAGTGAAACAGACAAGGGGAGGGGAAGAGAAGAGGGAAGGCATGTTTCCTATATGAGTTTCAGTTTATTGCACAGAAATGTTTTTGAAACCTTTATCTCCAATGGAATCATGAATGGGTATGGGACAGTCAAAAATAGAGGAAAAAATTTAGTCTGTAAGCAAATCATTGGATGGCATCAGAATTTGAGCCCAAGTAAAAGATGCTGGAGCTTGGCCCTTATCAGAGAAGAGAAGAGCCAGGTGGCGGATTTTATTTACAGCATGTTCAATTCTGAGGAAGAGGAGTATGGGCAGGGCAGAGGAAAAAGGAAAAATGGGAAACTCCCCCATGGACTTAAGGCCCCCGCAAAGAGAAACCATGTGCCTTCTTCCCACTTCCCTTCTGGCTTGGGCAAATGAGGCAGTTCATGATCCCTTTAGGGGTGGAGGCAGCCTGCAGAGACCAGTTGGGCCGAGATGAAATCTTGCAAAGGAACCCTTCTTACCCTCGAAAAGCAAGAATAGCAAAGGGACTTTGGGAAGGACATAACACAAGAACAGGAAACTCCTCACCAACAGCTCCCAGATGGAAGGAGTCTATGTGTCTAGCATTTTCACCAAAGTGCTGCTATCCTGATGCACAGATGCAAACTGGAACTGCTGCCTGTACCCTCACCATGGGCATGTACCCACCACAGGCATTCCCAGGTGATGCAGGGGCACAGGATTCCCTCTTTCTACTCAGGATAGCAACCCCTGGATGGGGTTTTCAACAAGTATAGGAGCTCCTGGACTCAGCCAGGACTCTCACCCACAGTCCCAGTCCTCCCACCTTCTTCAGGTCTCTAGAAGACAGAACGGATGGGTTTATAACATCCTGTTATCCAGCACTAATCCCAGGCTGTGGATGTAGGGAAAGGCCAGGTAAACAAGGAGAGGAGAAACAGGTGAATGACCCCAATTGTTTAAAACCGAAAGAACAGAATTGCCCCCAGTTAGTAAACAGCCATAAATTTTGTAGTATGTCTGTTCCAGAAATACTACACAATAGAAGAGCACGTGAGCACCAGATGCATGTGATAAAAACCATGCTCTGGAAGATGGATTCCAAGGAGTAGAAGCAGTATTTGCTCACAGCATTTAAGGAGAGCAGGGACTCTGGGATGCGGTGAAAGTAAAGATAAGAGGTCAGGAGTTCAAAACCAGCCTGACCAACGTGGTGAAACCCCGTCTTTAAAAAAAAAAAAAAAAAAAAAAAGATAAGACATGCAGGAACCACTGACAACATCAAGAAAGGATTTAAGGGCAGGGATATCTCTGTTAGAAAAGTTAACATTACCCTAGAAACAGCAAAGAGCATCATCAGCCCTGGGAAAAACTACCTCTGACGTGGAGAGCAGGCTTAAGAAAATCCCCTAGAACCCAGAGAAAAAGTGCAAAACGAGGAAGATGGCCAAAGAGAACATCATAGATACAGAGATCAGACATGACAATCCAGTCTTGTTAAGCGATAGAAGGAAAATGCTAACAGAACACGTGTAGCAGGAACACCATTTTAGAGGAAACCAGAAGAAAAGTTCCCTAAACTCAAAAGATACCACACCAGAAGTGGGCAGTACTCACCATGTTCAGGGGAACAAAAAGATAAAAACTGAAAAGCATCAGAATGTTTTCTGTGTGAAGGAAATTTGTAAGGTAGGAAAATTAGGTCACTTAATATAGCACAAACTGCATGTCTATCTAAATCAACATTTAAGTGCAAAAGCGTGGATATTACTCATGTAGTTAACTGGGAAACCATACAGGTGTTTTTCAGGAATGTACATAATGAATCCAAGTAAAGAACGGATCAGGAAAATTGTGTAGGAAGTTTGTGAACTGGCTGTGAGGCAGTGGCTCCTATTATGTCCAATTTTAGTGCTAAGTACTGTGTTAATGATGGCTGTCAAACAATATGTTAGCAATTGAAAGGAAATATGTATACTGTGAGCATAATAAATATTTTATAGAGAATAACAGTCATTTGATTTTATGCTAGTTCCCAGGTTCTCATTTATTTTAGTAAATGTGAGTAGCCAGTCGGAGAAAGAAGCATAAAAATATGTTGATTTTACTGAGGAAATTAGCAGGATTTGGTTTCTGAAAATGGTAAGACGTGAAATTTTACTATCTCAAAGTACATACCAAAACATGATTCTCGCTGAATATGTAAAGATGAGAAAGAATGCCAGGGAGTTATAGTTAAAAAGTAAGAGATCATCATAATATTAATATCAAAAGGACTAGAATTATTTAATTGATCAAGAGATTATCCACAATAATCACATAATCACCAACAATTTCAGATTATATACAGCAAAGTCTATTAGGAATTAATAAAATAGTATTAAGAGACTGCTAACATACTTTCATCAGCATTTGACAGTTAAATGTCAGCTGTAAGTATGCCTATCCAGTATCAAAAAGAATAAAAAGGAAGATGCTGATGACAATGAACATTTTAGGGATGCTTACTGTGTGCCAGGCACTATTCTAAGCTCTTCATGTGTTAACACATTGAGTCCTCAGAACAATCTTAAGATGTAGGGATACTGTTGTCTTCATACTTGAAATAGCACAAAAGTAAAAAATATAATAAATGCACTTCTCTTACATTCTGAACTCTGTAACTTCAAGCAGTGAATATAGTTTTAAAGGGTCAGGAAACATTTAGCAAATTAGTCATTTATTGGGCCTTATAAAACCTCAGTAGGCCTGGAGCAGTGGCTTACGCCTGTAATCCTAGCAATTTTGGAGGCCGAGGTGGGTGAATCACCTAAGTTAGCAGTTCGAGACCAGCCTGGCCAACATGGTGAAACCCCGTCTCTACTAAAAATACCAAAAAAATTAGCCGGGTATAGTGGCACGTGCCTGTAACCCCAGCTACTCAGGAGGCTGAGGCAGGAGAATTGCTTGAACCTGGGAGGCGGAGGTTACAGTGAGCCAATATCACATCACTGCACCCCAGCCTGGGTGACAGGGCAAGACTCCATCTCAAAACAAACAACAACAACAACAACAAAAAAAAAAAACTCAGTAAATCCTCTGGTCTTCTATCACCCTCTAAGAAATAATGGAGCACATACCAAGTTCTGGACCACATGTAGTAAAACTAGAAATAAATTACAGGGACAGACACTGAAATATTCCGGTTATGCCTTTTTATATTGTTTGAATCTTGCACAATATGTATGTATTCTATAGTCATAAAATGACTAGTTAAAATAATAAAAAGGAACTTTTTTGTGTGTGTGAGTATATAGAAACCAGCCCTAATACATCTGAAAAAAAAAAATAAAAGGACCCATGAGTAAATGGGGACCTATCCCTGTAAGAATTTTGAGGTAATATGTAGAGTTGAGGGAAGATCTCTTCCCCAGCCCCAAGTGATCAAAATCAGATTAGAGGCTGATTGACTCGGCCCTGTGCTCACTTGGATCCTCTGTGTTAACTGGAATATGCAATGTGACTGCGCCCTGTGCCCTCTCTGTGGCCAGCAGGGTAGAGACTTGTGATTGCCAGTCTCACCAGATCAAGATCTAGAGGAGAAGCAGATCTGTAAGGGAGGAGGTAGTGTATAGCACAAACACCTGATGCCCACCACACGGTGGGGGGTGGGGGAAGTGGTTGCAGGGAGGGGAGAACAAAGCCCGGTGAGTGCGCATAAAGGTGCAAGGCCAGAGACCATGTTATTTTAGAAGCATGCCCTGTGGCATCCAACCTGGAATTATGAGTATAATAAAAGAGAAACAAGGCTAGAAATTGATATTGCCAGAAGCTAGTCTGTGGAAAATTCTTCCTGATCTTACAGTTCATACACAAAAACAAACAAAACAAAAACGAGGGTTTTTTTTGACATTTGACAAAAATTTTAAAACTTTACATTATGTTACCAATAACAAGTTGTGAAACCAAAAACCTGTCTAAACTATCAATAATTAAAAACACATTTTGAGTACCATTCTAAAGGAAAACTGAATAAATTTCCAATTCACCATATGTAGAATGATTGTATAAAATTGTCGTATGAAGACTAATCAAACAGTGTGCAACTAAAAAAATGTAGAAAAATAGTATAAGGGCATATTAGGTAATTAGTTAATTATGTTATATTTCTGGATTTTTTCATGAGTGTGGGTTTTTTAGTTTTTCCAAGTTGTAATTTGTTGTGAATTTATATTCTAAATCACTTTCGTATCGAATTTTGGTTTCTCTTTTTCTTTTTTAAAAAATGTGTTTAAGTTCTGGGGTACATGTGCAGAACGTGCAGATTTGTTATATAGGTATACACTTGCCATGGTGGTTTGCTGCATCTTAGCCCGTCATCTACATTAGATAAAAAGTGTTCACAGAGTTAAGATTCAAGCCCCACACCACCTAGCTCTGCCCATGCATTGAGGCCTGGCATCCCTAGCTACTCAGAGTGAAGTGGAGCAGGAAGTAGCTTTTCAGCATCTCACCTTCCCTGAAGACCCTGATGCTGGGGCTGAGACCCAAAGGAGAAAGCAGGGGTATAGCTAATAGGGAAATAACTAACATCTGTTTGAGATTTTTTCCAGTTTATAGAACTAACTGAAGTTATTCCTTATTTATCCAAGAGATGATAAGTTATGTAAATTTTCTCTACCAGGACTTAGGGGTGATGAAGAGGATAAGAGGTGAGGGAGAGAGAGTAATCAAATCCCAGAGAGCATAAGTAGCTGAGAAACACTGGTCTCTGAACATGAAGCCTTTCCTTGGTGTTGGTGTACTTGGTGACCACATGGAGGATTTGTCCGTAAGGCAGTTGTCCTCCACGAGAGTGACACCTCTCCTTAAAGGGAATCTTCCTGTTACCAATATCATGTAAAAAACCG